TGGCAACTAGGGGTTAGCTTGTGGGCTTACTCATTGTGGATACTAGGAATTAGCTTGTGGGCTTACTCATCGTGGCTACTAGGGGTTAGAGCTTGTGGGCTTACTCATTGTGACTAATAGGGATTAGCTTGTGGGCTTACTCATCGTGGCTACGAGGGGTTACAGCTTGTGGGCTTACTCATTGTGGCTACTAGGGGTTAGCTTGTGGGCATACTCATTGTGGCTACTAGGGGTTAGAGCTTGTGGGCTAACTCATTGTGGCTACTAGGGGTCAGCTTGTGGGCTTCTCATTGTGGATACTAGGGGTTAGAGCTTGTGGGCTTACTCATTGTGACTACTAGGGGTTAGCTTGTGGGCTACTCATTGTGGATACTAGGGGTTAGAGCTTGTGGGCTTACTCATTGTGGCTACTAGGGGTTACAGCTTGTGGGCTTACTCATTGTGGCTACTAGGGGTTAGTTTGTGGGCTTACTCATTGTGGCTACTAGGGGTTAGCTTGTGGGCTTACTCATTATGGCTACTAGGGGTTAGAGCTTGTGGGCTTACTCCTTGTGGATACTAGGGGTCAGCTTGTGGGCTTACTCATTGTGGCTACTAGGGGTTAGAGGTTGTGGGCTTACTCATTGTGGCTACTAGGGGTTAGCTTGTGGGCTTACTCATTGTGGCTACTAGGGGTTAGAGCTTGTGGGCTTACTCATTGTGGCTACTAGGGGTTAGAGCTTGTGGGCTTACTCATTGTGGCTACTAGGAGTTAGCTTGTGGGCTTACTCATTGTGGTTACTAGGGGATAGCTTGTGGGCTTAGTCGTTGTGGCTACTAGGGGTTAGCTTGTGGGCTACTCATTGTGGCTACTAGGGGTTAGAGCTTGTGGGCTTACTCATTGTGACTACTAGGGGTTAGCTTGTGGGCTACTCATTGTGGCTACTATCGGTTAGCTTGTGGGCTTACTCATTGTGGATACTAGGGGTTAGCTTGTGGGCTTTCTCATTGTGGCTACTAGGGGTTACAGCTTGTGGGCTTACTCATTGTGGATACTAGGGGTTAGAGCTTGTGGGCTTACTCATTGTGCCTACTAGGAGTTAGCTTGTGGGCTTACTCATTGTGGATACTAGGGATTAGCTTATAGGCTTACTCATTGTCGCTACTAGGGGTTAGCTTGTGGGCTTACTCATTGTGGCTACTAGGGGTTAGCCTGTGGGCTTACTCATTGTGGCTACTAGGGGTTAGCTTGTGGGCTTACTCATTGTGGATATTAGGGGTTAGAGCTTGTGGGCTTACTCATTGTGACTACTAGGGATTAGCTTGGCGGCTTACTCATCGTGGCTACTAGGGGTTACAGCTTGTGGGCTTACTCATTGTGGCTACTAGGGGTTAGAGCTTGTGGACTTACTCATTGTGGTTACTAGGGGTTAGCTTGTGGGCTTACTCATTGTGGCTACTAGGGGTCAGCTTGTGGGCTTACTCATCGTGGCTACTAGGGGGTTAGAGCTTGTGGGCTTACTCATTGTGGCTACTAGGGGTTAGAGCTTGTGGGCTTACTCATTGTGGCTACTAGGGGTTAGAGCTTGTGGGCTTACTCATTGTGGCTACTAGGGGTTAGAGCTTGTGGGCTTACTCATTGTGGCTACTAGGGGGTTAGCTTGTGGGCTTACTCATTGTGGTTACTAGGGGTTAGCTTGTGGGCTTACTCATTGTGGATTCTAGGGCTATCGCGAAGGGATGAGGCAAAATAGGTCAAACTTACACACAACCAAGAGAAACTGCGTTCCATAGGGAAAAAGAGCCGCCCAACCGTCTTTGTCTTCCCGCAGCACGGGATAGCAAGGAATGTAACGCCCAGAGCGAGGGAAATTACTTTTAATAAATGACACAAAGATAAAGATCCCCCGTGTAGCCTTAACAGACTGTAGGGGCAAGTGCTGTTAGCGAGCGGCACCTATGAAGGCTGGAACGGCACACGAGGGGGTGGGTGGCCAGCACCACGCCCGACCGCCTTTGCCTCCCCAGTCACGATGTTCACTACACACCGCACCAGGTACTCATTTGAGGCTGAGTCGACCTAGCGGAGGCCCGGGACCGGTTCAGATGAACGTCATCGCAGCGCCACCGAGGAAGGGTGCCCTTTTTTGAGCTGCCGTTTTGTATTCACAAGAGGTGGTGGTCATTTTTTAGAGCTGCCGTTTTGTATTCACAAGAGGTGGTCATTTTTTGAGCTGCCCTCTCTCTCTCTGTCTCTGCCTCCCTGTCCGTCTTTCCTCCCTCCTTACCCCTTGGTGGACTTGTATATGTATTTCTACTGACCGTGTACCTCGTATTTTTTCATTCTATCTACGCCGGTATGCGCAATCCAAAGGTTGAACGCGAAATTTAACGCTCCTCTGAAATTCGTGGTCCGCCAGGAAGTGTCCTAACCGTGTTGTTGGCCTGACTGGATGTGGCTTCACGTAAATTGTTTTTTTCGGGTTTGTTGAATTCTCGTCTCTCATCTTTTTGTTGTTTGTATTTACCTCCGCGATTTGTTCTTGACACCCGGCGAAGACCCGCCTGCGTTGCGATCGAAACGTCGCGATCATATATATTTTTTTGTTTTCGATACAATTTCATCATACGTGACTTTACCGAAAGAAAAAAAACAACGAGTGAGGGTGCCCAGCCGCCAGCGGGGCGAGCCGCGGGCGCTAGCCGACGACGGGATCGCCGCGCGACTGCTCTTCCCACCAGCTGCGGGACCGAACTCCGCCCCCCCCCCCGTGTGAGAGGAGGGAGGACCCAGCTAATCCGTACGATACGCACGGCGCCATCGCGTTGCCCGACGTCAGCCCGACGTCACGTAACTGCCCGAGAACGCATCCGCACTCGAAGCAAACGCGAATCATTCGCGAGAAGGCCGATTGTGGTTTTCACACCCGATGACGACGACGGCGGCGACTGCTTGCTTGCTTTGCGTTGCGTTCGAAACGTCGTTGGGAATTTTACCGTTTTGTATTTGTATTATTTTGTTTCCCTTCCACGTGGCTTTACCGAAAGAGCCAAGAATAATTAGAAGACTGATCGTGAAGTCGCGTGAACCATCGGCTGGCCGTGAAAGCATCTCGGCTCGTCGAGTGATAACGATACGTCGTTTATAAGTACGTTAAAATATATTTTGTATCTTCCTGTTTTGTTTCACGTGATTTTACTTCCAATCGCATAAATTGCCGACAGATGCATCGATACAAACTAAACTTTTTGAAGCCTCCGTCACGAATCTACACGCCCACAGAGAGAATGTCGTGTTGAACCTGTTTATTTATCGTGTAATCTTGTCCACGAATTAATTGAAACTTGGCCAAAGATAAGCATCTCCCGTAGGAGGGCACGCACACCCTCATTCCAAGACATTTCGTTAATTATATAATCTTGCCGATGAATCTATTGACGTATACCTTTGCCTTTGGGGTACAACAATTTGCTTTATTGCCTGTCGGTATGAAAATCGTTGCATGAATTTTTAAGGACTTTTCCTCTCGCCGATATATGCTCGCGTTGCTCTGACGAAGTCATCATCTGTTCTGTTACCCAGTTAACACACGTGAACATTGAGGGTTAAATGTATGAATCCATGAAGCCTTAGCCAAATCGATGAGTATTTGCTGAAGCAGGCGTACTGCCACACACCCCTTGCTCCAAGACATTTCGCAATTAGGTAATCTTGCTCATGAATTAATTGCGGTATACTTTGCCTTCAGGACAGGCTTCTTCGTTGCCTTTCGTATGAATGTCGTCGCGTGAAATTTTTAAGGACTTTTGATTCCCGTCGCCGTGCATGCTCTCGTTACTCTGAGGAAGTAATCAATTGTTCTGTTACCCAGTTAACAAACGTGATCATTGAGGGTTAGATGTATGGATCGACGAGGGGGAACATCTCCTCGGGTACTGTGTTGACAATTTCAAGCATAAGAATTCGCATATTAGAGTGTTAAGGTTTTGTGTAGAAATTAAAATTGCTTGACACAGAAGTGTTTGAGTGGTGCCTTCCTAAGTTCATGTGTAATAATCTTAATCATAAGAACTGTATCCTGCGGTGAGATTTTAATTTGGAGACCTGACGTAAAACAGACCAATACACAATCAGTAAACGTTAAAGCGAGAATAATTGTATTATACCGATCGATAATACGAACCTAGACATTGAAGCCGAGTTTAACCTGGCGTGCTTTCAGCCCACCTGCATAACTTTATACAATTCATTGTCTTATCCCGATTGATGACACTACACTCGTCAGCAGGGCAGGGCCTAATGATCATAACGGCACGCATTAGCATAATCACGTACATTCACATAATTTAATGCTATTATCTCTCTAATAAGCATAATGTATGCGCATAATTACATAAAGTAACATGATTTAGGATAATTACGCCTTTTTTCAAATTTCATTAAATTTTTATTATTTTCATCAAATTTTCATACCCAACACATACAACGCTACTCGGGGTTAGCCTGTGGGCTTACTCATTGTGGCTACTGTTGTATATATAAGCCTACACTACACTACACACTACACTACACACTACTCTGCACTACACACTCTGCACTACACACTCTACACTACACTACACACTCTACAGTACACACTACTCTACACTACACACTCTACACTACACACTCCACACTACACTACACTCTACACTACTATACACTACTATACACTACTCTATACAAAACACTATACACTACACTATACACTACTATACACTACACACTACACACCACAAGTCTACCGACTCTGTAGCTTCTCTCTCAGTGGCACATCCGGTGATCACAGCGTCGAACCCACGACCTCCTGTACACCACGCGAGGTAGTCAACATCTCAGCGTTGAACCCACGACCTCCTGTGTACCAGGCGAGGTAGTCAACATCTCAGCATGGAACCCACGACCTCCTGTACACCAGGCGAGGTAGTCAACATCTCAACATGTAACCCACGACCTCCTGCGCACCAGGCGAGGTAGTCAACATCTCCGAGGCACAGTGGCGCTCTGAATTATTTGAGGCTGAGTCAACCTAGGGGCGGGCCCATGACCGGTTCAGATGACCGCTGCTGCTGCCACCGCTGCTGCTGTTGGTAAGAAGGCGCTGTGATGTCATAGCCGCTGCGCTGTGATGTCATAGCCGCTGCGCATTGATGTCATAGCCGCTGCGCTTTGATGTCATAGCCGCTGTGATGTCATAGCCGCTGCGCTTTGATGTCATCGCCGCTGCGCTTTGATGTCATAGCCGCTGCGCTTTGATGTCATCACCGCTACGCTTTGATGTCATAGCCGCTGTGCTTTGATGTCATAGCCGCTGCGCTGTGATGTCATAGCCGCTGCGCTATGATGTCATAGCCGCTGCGCTTTGATGTCATCGCCGCTACGCTTTGATGTCATAGCCGCTGTGCTATGATTGATGTCATAGCTGCTGCACTTTGATGTCATCGCCGCTACGCTTTGATGTCATAGCCGCTGTGCTATGATTGATGTCATAGCTGCTGCACTTTGATGTCATCGCCGCTACGCCTTGATGTCATAGCCGCTGCGCTTTGATGTAATCGCCGCTCCGCTTTGATGTCATCGCCGCTACGCTTTGATGTCATAGCCGCTGCGCTTTGATGTCATAGCCGCTGCGCTGTGATGTCATAGCTGCTGCACTGTTATGTCATAGCCGCTGCGCTTTGATGTCATCGCCGCTGCCCTGTGATGTCATCGTCGCCGCTGCTGCCCTGCGATGTGATGACATCATCGTCATCGCTGTGATGTCATTGGCCGAGTGGTGACCTCATCCGCCAGGGGGCTGGGTGTCACGGAGGCCTGGGCGGGAGATGCACATTCAATTAATTAATAAATTAATGTTGCCTCATTAACTTATTACATAAACTTAATTAATAAATTAATGTGACCTCATTAACTTATTACATTAACTTAGTTAATAAATTAATGCAGCCTCATTAACTTATTACATTGACTTAATTAATAAATTAATGTAATCCCATTAACTTATAACATTAACTTAATTAATACATTAATGTAATCTCATTAACTAATTACATTCACTTAATTAATAAATTAATGTAGTCTCATTAACTTATTGCATTCACTTAATTAATAATTAATGTGGCCTCAATAACTTATTACATTAACTTAATTAATAAATTAATGCAGCCTCATTAACTTATTACATTAACTTAATTAATAAATTAATGTAGCCTCATTGGCGTATCACATTCACTTAATTAATAAAGTAATGTAACCTCATCAACTTATTACACTCACTTAATTAATAAATAAATGTAGCCTCATCGGCTTATTATTCACTTAATTAATAAATTAATGTAGCCTCTTTGACTTATTACATTCACTTAATTAATAAATTTATGTAGCCTCATTATCTTATTACATTCACTTATTTAATAAATTAATGTAGTCTCATTAACTTATTACATTAACTTAATTAATAAATTAATGCAGCCTCATTGCCTTATTACATGAACTTAATTAATAAATTAATGTAACCTAATGTGCGTATTACATTTACTTAATTAATAAACTAATGTAGTCTCATTGACTTATTACATCAACTTAATTAATAAAATAATGTAGCCTAATCAACTTATTACATTCACTTAATTAATAAATTAATGTTGCCTCATTGACTTATTACATTAACTTAATTAATAAATGAATGTAACCTCATTAACTTATCACATTCACTTAATTAATAAATTAATGCAGCCTCATTGCCGTATTACATTCACTTAATTAATAAATTAATGTGCCCTCATTGGCTTATTATTCACTTAATAAATAAATTAATGTGGCCTCGTTGCCTTATGCATTCACTTAATTAATAAATTAATGTAGCCTGCCTTATCGCATTCACTTAATTAATAGTCTCGTTGACTTACAAAATTCACTTAATTAATAAATTGATGCACCCTCTTTAACTTATTACATCCACTTAATTAATAAATTAATGTAATCTCATCAACTTATCACAATCACTTAATTAATAATTTAATGCAACCTCGTTAACGTATTACATTCACTTAATTAATGTCGCCTCATTGACTTGTTGCATTCACTTAATTAATAAATTAATGTGGCCTCATTTGCTTATTACATTCACTTAATTAATAAAATAATGTACTCTCGTTTACTTATTACATTCACTTATTTAATAAATTAATGTAACCTCATTGACTTATCACATTCACTTAATTAATAAAATAATGTAGCCTCATTTGCTTATTGCATTCACTTAATTAATAAATGTATGTATTCTCATTAACTTATTACATTCACTTAATAAATTAATGTAACCTCATCAACTTATTACATTCACTTAATTAATAAATTAATGTAGCCTCGCTAACTTATCACATTTACTTAATTAATAATTCAATGTGGCCTCGTTGGCTTATCACATTCACTTATTTAATAATTTAATGTAATCTCATTAACTTATTACATTCACTTAATTAATAAATTAATCTAGCCTTATTGACTTATTACATTCACTTAATTAATACATTTATGTAATCTCATTAACTTATTACATTCACTTTATGTCTCTCCCCCACCCCCCCCCGTGTCTCTCTCCCCCCGTGTCTCCCCCCGTGTCTCCCCCCGTGTCTCCCCCCATGTCTCTCCCCGTGTCTCTTTCCCCCCCGTGTCTCTCCCTGTGTCTCTCTCCCCCCCGTGTCTCTCCCCGTGTCTCTCCCCGTGTGTCTCTCCCCCGTGTGTCTCTCCCCCCCGTGTCTCTCCTCCGTGTCTCTCCCCGTGTCTCTCTCCCCCCCGTGTCTCCACCCGTGTCTCTCCCCGTGTCTCTCCCCCGTGTCTCTCCCCCGTGTCTCTCCCCCCGTGTCTCTCCCCCCCTGTGTCTCTCCCCCCGTGTCTCTCCCCCCCCGTGTCTCTCCCACCGTCTCCCCCCCCCCCTGTGTCTCCCCCGGTGTCTCTCCCCCCGTGTCTCTCCCCCCGTGTCTCCCCCCCCCCCCGTGTCTCTCCCCCCCGTGTCTCTCCCCCCCGTGTCTCTCTCCCGTGTCTCTCCCCCCCGTGTCTCTCTCCCGTGTCTCTCCCCCCGTGTCTCTCCCCCCGTGTCTCTCCCCCGTGTCTCTCCCCCCCCCCCCCCGTGTCTCTCCCTGTGTCTCTCCCCCCGTGTCTCTCTCCCCCGTGTCTCTCCCCCGTGTCTCTCCCCCACCCCGTGTCTCTCCCCCACCCCGTGTCTCTCCCCCCCCGTGTCTCTCCCCCCCGTGTCTCTCCCCCTCCGTGTATCTCCCCCTCCCCGTCTCTCCCTGTGTCTCTCCCCCCGTGTCTCTCCCCCCCCCGTGTCTCTCCCCCCGTGTTTCTCCCCCCGTGTCTCTCCCTGTGTCTCCCCCCCCCCGTGTCTCCCCCTCTGTGTCTACCCACGTGTCTCTCTCCCGTGTCTCTCTCCCGTGTCTCTCCCCCGTGTCTCTCCCCCCGTGTCTCTCTCCCCCGTGTCTCCCCCTCTGTGTCTCCCCCCGTGTCTCTCCCCCCGTGTCTCTCTCCCGTGTCTCTCCCCCGTGTCTCTCTCCCCCGTCTCTCTCCCCCGTGTCTCCCCCTCTGTGTCTCCCCCCGTGTCTCTCCCCCCGTGTCTCTCCCCCCGTGTCTCTCTCCCCCGTGTCTCTCCCCGTGTCTCTCTCCCCCGTGTCTCTCTCCCCTCGTGTCTCTCTCCCGTGTCTCCCCCCCGTGTCTCTCCCCCCCGTGTCTCCCCCGTGTCTCTCTCCCGTGTCTCTCCCCCGTGTCTCCCCCGTGTCTCTCTCCCGTGTCTCCCCCCGTGTCTCTCCCCGTGTCTCCCCCCACGTGTCTCCCCCCACCTGTCTCCACAGAGACAACGCTCCCCACACTCCCAGGGACAGCAGTGCGGTGCCTCCCACGGCGAAGGCCGAACCCCAGCCCAGGGCACGGAGGGCCAGACGGGAGCCTGTCTCAAGGCCTGGCGGGAGAGTCTGGGGGAGACACGGTGGGAGAGACACGGGGGAGACACAGGGGAGACACGGGGGAGACATGGGGGAGACACGGTGGGAGAGACACGGGGGAGAGACACGGGGGAGACACGGTGGGAGAGACACGGGGGAGACACCGGGGAGAGACACGGGGGAGACACGGTGGGAGAGACACGGGGGAGACACGGGGGGAGACATGGGGGAGACACGGTGGGAGAGGCACGGGGGAGACACGGGGGAGACACGGTGGGAGAGACACGGGGGGAGACACGGGGGAGACACGGGGGAGACACGGGGAGAGACACGGGGGGGAGACACGGGGGAGACACGGGGAGAGACATGGGGGAGACACGGGAGAGACACGGGGGGGACACGGTGGGAGACACGGGGGAGAGACGGGGGGAGAGACACGGGGGGGGGAGACACGGGGGGGACACGGGGGGAGAGACACGGGGAGAGACACGGGGGGGAGACACGGTGGGAGAGACACGGGGGGAGACACGGGGGAGACACGGGGGATACACGGGGGGAGACACGGGGGAGAGACGGGGGGGAGAGACACGCGGGGGGGGAGCCACGGGGGAGACACGGGGGAGAGACAGGGGGGAGAGACACGGGGGGGGGGGGAGAGACACAGGGGAGACATGGGGGGAGACACGGTGGGGGAGAGAGACACGGGGGGGGAGACACGGGGGAGACACGGTGGGGGAGACACGGGAGAGAGACACGGGGAGAGACACGGGGGGAGAGACGGGGGGGGGGGAGAGACATGGGGGAGAGAGACACGGGGGGAGAGACACGGGGAGAGAGACACGGGGGGAGAGACACGGGGGGAGAGACACGGGGGGAGAGACACGGGGGGAGAGACACGGGGGAGAGACACCGGGAGAGACACAGGGGAGAGACACGGGGGAGAGACACGGGGGGAGAGACACGGGGGAGAGACACGGGGGAGAGACACGGGGGGAGAGACACAGGGGGAGAGACACGGGGGAGAGACACGGGGGGAGAGACACGGGGAGACATGGGGAGAGAGACACGGGGGAGAGACACGGGGGGAGAGACACGGGGAGAGAGACACGGTGGGGGAGACACGGGAGAGAGACACGGGGAGAAACACGGGGGGAGAGACGGGGGGGGGAGAGACATGGGGGAGAGAGACACGGGGGGAGAGACATGGGGAGAGAGACACGGGGAGAGAGACACGGGGGGAGAGACACGGGGGAGAGACACGGGGGGAGAGACACGGGGGGAGAGACACGGGGGAGAGACACGGGGGGAGAGACACGGGGGAGAGACACGGGGGAGAGACACGGGGGAGAGACACGGGGGGAGAGACACGGGGAGAGAGACACGGGGAGAGAGACACGGGGGAGAGACACGGGGGGAGAGACACGGGGAGAGAGACACGGGGGGAGAGACACGGGGAGAGAGACACGGGGAGAGAGACACGGGGGAGAGACACGGGGAGAGAGACACGGGGGGAGAGACACGGGGGAGAGACACGGGATAGAGACACGGGGGGGGGGGGGGCGAGAAACACGGGGGAGACACGGGGGAGACATGGGGGAGACACGGGGGGGAGAGACACGGGGGGGGAAAGACACGGGGGAGAGACACGGGGGGGGAGAGACACGGGGGGAGAGACACGGGGGGAGAGACACGGGGGAGAGACACGGGGGAGAGACACGGGGGGAGAGACACGGGGGGAGAGACACGGGGGAGAGACACGGGGGGAGAGACACGGGGGAGAGACACGGGGGAGAGACACGGGGGAGAGACACGGTGGGAGAGACACGGGGGAGACACGGTGGGAGAGGCACGGGGGAGACACGGGGGAGACACGGTGGGAGAGACACGGGGGGAGACACGGGGGAGACACGGGGGAGACACGGGGAGAGACACGGGGGGGAGACACGGGGGAGACACGGGGAGAGACATGGGGGAGACACGGGAGAGACACGGGGGGGACACGGTGGGAGACACGGGGGAGAGACGGGGGGAGAGACACGGGGGGGGGAGACACGGGGGGGACACGGGGGGAGAGACACGGGGAGAGACACGGGGGGGAGACACGGTGGGAGAGACACGGGGGGAGACACGGGGGAGACACGGGGGATACACGGGGGGAGACACGGGGGAGAGACGGGGGGGAGAGACACGCGGGGGGGGAGCCACGGGGGAGACACGGGGGAGAGACAGGGGGGAGAGACACGGGGGGGGGGGGAGAGACACAGGGGAGACATGGGGGGAGACACGGAGGGGGAGAGAGACACGGGGGGGGAGACACGGGGGAGACACGGTGGGGGAGACACGGGAGAGAGACACGGGGGAGAGACACGGGGGGAGAGACGGGGGGGGGGGGAGAGACATGGGGGAGAGAGACACGGGGGGAGAGACACGGGGAGAGAGACACGGGGGGAGAGACATGGGGGAGAGACACGGGGGGAGAGACACGGGGGGAGAGACACGGGGGAGAGACACGGGGGAGAGACACAGGGGAGAGACACGGGGGAGAGACACGGGGGGAGAGACACGGGGGAGAGACACGGGGGAGAGACACGGGGGGAGAGACACAGGGGGAGAGACACGGGGGAGAGACACGGGGGGAGAGACACGGGGAGACACGGGGAGAGAGACACGGGGGAGAGACACGGGGGGAGAGACACGGGGAGAGAGACACGGTGGGGGAGACACGGGAGAGAGACACGGGGAGAAACACGGGGGGAGAGACGGGGGGGGGAGAGACATGGGGGAGAGAGACACGGGGGGAGAGACATGGGGAGAGAGACACGGGGAGAGAGACACGGGGGGAGAGACACGGGGGAGAGACACGGGGGGAGAGACACGGGGGGAGAGACACGGGGGAGAGACACGGGGGGAGAGACACGGGGGAGAGACACGGGGGAGAGACACGGGGGAGAGACACGGGGGGAGAGACACGGGGAGAGAGACACGGGGAGAGAGACACGGGGGAGAGACACGGGGGGAGAGACACGGGGAGAGAGACACGGGGGGAGAGACACGGGGAGAGAGACACGGGGAGAGAGACACGGGGGAGAGGACACGGGGAGAGAGACACGGGGGGAGAGACACGGGGGAGAGACACGGGATAGAGACACGGGGGGGGGGGAGAGAAACACGGGGGAGACACGGGGGAGACACGGGGGAGACACGGGGGGGGAGAGACACGGGGGGGGGAAAGACACGGGGGAGAGACACGGGGGGGAGAGACACGGGGGGAGAGACACGGGGGGAGAGACACGGGGGAGAGACACGGGGGGAGAGACACGGGGGGAGAGACACGGGGGAGAGACACGGGGGGAGAGACACGGGGGAGAGACACGGGGGAGAGACACGGGGGAGAGACACGGGGGGGGAGACACGGGGAGAGAGACACGGGGGGAGAGACACGGGGGGAGAGACACGGGGGGGGGGAGACACGGGGAGAGAGACACGGGGAGAGAGACACGGGGAGAGAGACACGGGGAGAGAGACACGGGGAGAGAGACACGGGGGAGAGACATGGGGAGAGAGAGACAGGGAGAGACACGGGGGAGACACGGGGGGAGAGACGGGGGAGAGACACGGGAGAGAGACACGGGGGGGGGGGAGAGAGACACGGGGGAGACACGGGGGGGAGACACGGGGGGGAGACACGGGGGAGAGACACGGGGGAGAGACACGGGGGGAGAGACACGGGGGGAGAGACACGGGGGGAGAGACAGGCGAGGTAGTCAACATCTCAGCATGGAACCCACGACCTCCTGTACACCAAGCGAGGTAGTCAACATCTCAAGGTCACCGTGCTCTGCCTGGGGGTCACCGTGCTCTGCCTGGGGGTCACTGGGGGGTCACTGGGGGTCACCGTGCTCTGCCTGGGGATCACTGGGGGTCACTGGGGGTCACTGGGGGTCACCATGCTCTGCCTGGGGTCACTGGAGGTCACTGGGGGTCACTGGGGGTCACCTGATCGAAGCATTTGGGGCTCTTCCTGCGGGCTGAGGCCACAGTGATTGAGAAGCCGGAGAGAAGTCCACCCAGACCCAGCGTCACGAAGAGAGCCGCTCCTACACCACCACCATCATCATCACTATCATCATCAATACCATCATCATCATCACTAGCATCATCACCATCACTACCATCATTATCATCATCACTAGCATCATCACCATCATCACCATCACCACCATCAATACCATCATCATCATCACCATCATCACTGCCATCATCATCACTATCATCACCATCATCATCACTATCATCATCATCATCATCACCATCATCATCATCACTACCATCATCACCATCACTACCATCATTATCATCATCACTAGCATCATGACCATCATCATCACTATCATTATCACCATCATCACTGCCATCATCATCACTATCATCACCATCATCACTACCATCATCATCACCATCATCACCACCATCATCATCACCATCATCATCACCATCATCATCACAACCATCACCATCTTCATCATCACTATCATCATCATCACCATCATCACTGCCATCATCATCACTATCATCACCATCATCATCACTACCATCATCACCATCATCATCATCACCACCATCATCACCATCATCATCACAACCATCACCATCTTCATCATCACTACCATCATGACCATCATCAACTACACCACCACCATCATCACCATCATCACTGCCATCATCATCACTATCATCACCATCATCATCACTACCATCATCATCATCGTCACCATCACCACCATCACCATCATCACCATCATCATCACTACCGTCATTACCATCATCATCACTACCATCACCACCATTATCATCACTACCATCATCACTACCATCATCACCATCATCATCACTACCATCACCATCACTACCGTCATCATCATCATCATCACTACCATCATCACTACCATCACCACCATTATCATCATCATCACTACCATCATCACCATCATCATCTACACCATCACAACCATCATCACTACCATCATCATCATCATCATCTACACCATCACCACCATTATCATCATCACCATCATCATCACTACCATCATCACCATCATCTACACCATCACCACCATTATCATCACTACCATCATCACCACCATCATCATCATCACTACCATCTACACCATCACCACCATTATCATCACTACCACCATCACCCCCATTATCACCATCATCATCACTATCATGATCATCACTACCATCATCATCATCACTACCATCATCATCATCACTACCATCATCATCACTATCATCACCATCACCGCCATTATCATCATCACTACCATCATCATCACCATCATCACCACCATCATTGAGCCAGACTGAGGCTCCCACAGGGTCCAGTGTTAATCACTGAGACTCACAGAGCCAGACTAAGGCTCCCACAGGGTTCGGTGTTAATCACTGAGACTCACAGAGCCAGACTAAGGCACCCACAGGGTTCAGTGTTAATCACTGAGACTCACAGAGCCAGACTGAGGCTCCCACAGGGTTCAGTGTTAATCACTGAGACTCACAGAGCCAGACTAGGGCTCCTACAGGGTTCAGTGTTAATCAGTGAGACTCACAGAGCCACACTAAGGCTCCCACAGGGTTCAGTGTTAATCAGTGAGACTCACAGAGCCAGACTGAGGCTCCCACAGGGTTCAGTGTTAATCACTGAGACTCACAGAGCCAGACTGAGGCTCCCACATGGTTCAGTGTTAACCAGTGAGGCTCCGCTACCTGTCAGAGCCGACAGCTTCTCTCCTCCCTCTCCTCCCGCACCTTGGGCGCTCTCCGTGGCCATCCTCTCGCCGATCGATAACTAATCGATCATTAATAATCAATCAATCGCTCACCGACCAATGGCCCATTGCTCGCCGATGGCTAACTTATCGCTCAGGAATCACTAGCCTATTACGAATCTAGCGCTGGCCAATCGCGAACCAATCGCTAATCTATCAATAACCAATCGATAACTAATCGATAACCCATGAACTCATGAAGCCGGTGAGCACCCCGCTCAAACCATTGACATTGACTCGGCGTGGTGTGGGAATCGATTCCTTTTAATTTTGCTAATCGACGCGCTGCGTTTCGTCGTAACGACGATTCTCCTACACAGGCCAACGCTTTCCCCGTCCGAGGAATCGATTTGTATGCGCCACGGGTAAATTCGATTCCCTACAGCTGTACGGGGAGCGGAAGCCTTCGATCGATTCCGGATATGACGTTTTGGAATGTTAGCGTTGACGTCACGTACGGTTTTGTCTCGGCCGGGCGACGTCGGTTTGGGTGGGAGTTTGGTCACTTGCTGTCTGTTGAATGACGTCATCGGTAACGAAGACGTCATCTCCATCCTTGAGCTCGTTGACGTGACGTCACCCGGCTCGTTCGCACCGGACATTCTGACGTTTGCCTGCTCGTACGCCTCCCGACGTGATGACGTCAGAGACGCCTCATTCCGCCCCCCGACGTGGTGACGTCGCTCCAGCTCGTTTTTTTGTTTGCGCCGACGTGATGACGTCATCCAGCTGTAGCGCGGTGACGTCATCACGACGCGCCAAACACGTGTTGCTTCAAGCAGGCAGGTTGGACTGTACTTTGTACTGTATCGGTAAATAGCGCTGCAGGCTGTTTTAAAGTTTAATACGTTTATTGTTGAACACGTTTAGTGTTTAATTATGTTGGTGTTTAGTAAGTTTGGTGTTCGATGATGTATAGTGTTTAATGATGGCGTATAACGTTACTTTTAAGCTATAGCGTTAAATGTTGGTGTTCAAATATTCGTATTTAAATGTTGGTATTTAATGTTACTTTTTAACGTTAGTGTTTAATGTGAGTGTTAACGTGAGTGTTAATGTTAATGTGAGTGTTAGTGTGAGTGTTAATGTTGATGTGAGTGTTAGTGTGAGTGTTAATGTTAATGTGAGTGTTAGTGTGAGTGTTAGTGTGAGTGTTAATGTGAGTGTTAGTGTGAGTGTTAATGTGAGTGTTTAATGTGAGTGTTAGTGTGAGTGTTAATGTGAGTGTTAGTGTGAGTGTTAATGTGAGTGTTAGTTTTAGTGTGAGTGTTAATGGTGATGTGAGTGTTAATGTGAGTGGTTAATGTGAGTGTTAATGTGAGTGTTAATGTAAGTGTTTAACTTGAGTGTTAATGTTGATGTGAGCGTTAACGTGAGTGTTAATGTGAGTGTTAGTGTGAGTGTTAACGTGAGTGTTAATGTGAGTTAGTGTGAGTGTTAATTTGAGTGTTAATGTGAGTGGTTGATGTGAGTGTTAATGTGATTGTTTAATGTGAGTGTTAGTGTTAACGTGAGTGTTAACGTGAGTGTTAGTGTGAGTGTTAATGCGAGTGTTAGTGTGAGTGTTAATGTGAGTGTTAATGTGAGTGTTAGTGTGAGTGTTAATGTGAGTGTTAACGTGAGTGTTAATGTGAGTTAGTGTGAGTGTTAATGTGAGTGTTTAATGTGAGTGTCAATGTGAGTGTTAATGTGAGTGTTAATGTGAGTGTTAATGTGAGTGTTTAATGTGAGTGTTAATGTGAGTGTTTAATGTGAGTGTTTAATGTGAGTGTTTAATGTGAGTGTTAATGTGAGTGTTAATGTGAGTGCTTAATGTGAGTGCTTAATGTGAGTGTTAATGTTGATGTGAGTGTTAATGTGAGTGTTAATGTGAGTGTTAATGTGAGTGCTTAATGTGAGTGCTTAATGTGAGTGCTTAATGTGAGTGTTAATGTTGATGTGAGTGTTAATGTGAGTGTTAATGTGAGTGTTAATGTGAGTGTTAATGTGAGTGTTAACATGAGTGTTAATGTGAGTGTTAATGTGAGTGTTTAATGTGAGTGTTAATGTGAGTGTTAGTGTGAGTGTTAATGTGAGTGTTAGTGTTAACGTGAGTGTTATTGTGAGTGTTAATGTAAGTGTTAGTGTGAGTGTTAACGTTGATGTGAGTGTTGATGTGAGTGTTTAATGTGAGTGTTAGTGTGAGTGTTAATGTGAGTGTTAACGTGAGTGTTAACGTGAGTGTTAATGTGAGTGTTAGTGTGAGTGTTTGTGTGAGTGTTAATGTGAGTGTTAGTGTGAGTGTTAGTGTGAGTGTTAACGTGAGTGTTAACGTGAGTGTTAATGTGAGTGTTTAATGTGAGTGTTTGTGTGAGTGTTTGTGTGAGTGTTAGTGTGAGTGTTAGTGTGAGTGTTAATGTGAGTGTTAATGTGAGTGTTAGTGTGAGTGTTAGTGTGAGTGTTAATGTAAGTGTTAACGTGAGTGTTAATGTGAGTGTTAACGTGAGTGTTTAACGTGAGTGTTAGTGTGAGTGTTAATGTGAGTGTTAATGTGAGTGTTGAGACTAAGGCTCCCTCCCTGACGATGCTACTGCTGCTACTACTGCTGATGATGCTGATGCTACTGATGATGCTGATGCTGATGATGCTGATGCTACTGATGATGCTGATGCTACTGATGATGCTGATGCTACTGATGATGCTGATTCTACTGATGATGCTGCTGCTACTGATGATGCTGCTGCTGATGCTGATGATGCTGATGCTACTGATGATGCTGATGCTGCTGCTGCTGATGATGCTGATGCTACTGATGCTGCTGCTGATGATGCTGATGCTGCTGCTGATGATGCTGTTGATGATGCTGCTGATGATGATGCTGATGCTACTGATGATGCTGCTGCTGATGATGCTGCTGATGCTGATGCTACTGATGATGCTGCTACTGATGATGCTGATGCTACTGATGTTGATGATGCTGATGCTACTGATGATGCTGCTACTGATGATTCTGATGCTACTGATGATGATGCTGATGCTACTGATGTTGATGCTGATGCTACTGATGATGATGCTGATGATGGTTGTTGTTGCTTGTTGTAGCTCCCTCCAATGGCTCCGTTTCAAGCGGGCAAGCGGCGGCCCCACACCCCCTCGCCCCTGCGTCACGGCGGCGGTGGTGACGGGGGTCGGGTGGTGGCGTGGTGGAGCCGCGAGGAGTGGCAGGCTGTCAGCGCCGCCGTGCGGAGCCGCCAAGCGCAGCGTGAGGAGTTCGCCATCGGACGCCTGGAGGCCTGGGGGAGCAGGTGGGTGGGTGGGTGGGTGAGTGGGTGGGTGAGTGGGTGGGTGGGTGGGTGGGTGGGTGAGTGGGTGGGTGAGTGGGTGAGTGGGTGGGTGAGTGGGTGGGTGAGTGGGTGGGTAAGTGGGTGGGTGAGTGGGTGGGTGGGTGAGTGGGTGGGTGAGTGAGTGAGTGTGTGAGTGGGTGGGTGGGTGAGTGGGTGAGTGGGTGGGTGGGTAAGTGGGTGGGTGAGTGGGTGAGTGGGTGGGTGAGTGGGTGGGTGAGTGGGTGGGTAAGTGGGTGGGTGAGTGGGTGAGTGAGTGAGCGGATGGGCGAGCGAGTGAGTGAGCGAGTGAGTGATTGAGTGGGTGAGTGAGTGAGTGAGCGAGTGAGTGAGTGGGCGAGTGAGTAAGTGAGTGAGTGAGCGAGCGAGCGAGTGAGTGAGTTGGTGGGTGAGTGAGTGAGCGAGTGAGTGAGTGGGTGGGTGAGTGAGTGGGTGAGTGAGTGAGTGAGTGAGCGAGTGAGTGAGTGAGTGAGTGAGTTAGTGAGTGAGCGAGCGAGCGAGCGAGCGAGTGAGTGAGTTAGTGAGTGAGCGAGCGAGTGAGTGAGTGAGTGGGCGGGTGAGTGAGTGGGCGGGTGAGTGAGTGAGTGAGTGAGTTAGTGAGTTAGTGAGCGAGTGAGTGGGTGAGTGAGTGAGTGAGTGGGTGAGCGTGCGAGTGAGTGAGTGAATGAGCGAGTGAGTGAGCGAGTGAGTGGGTGGGTGAGCGAGTGAGTGAGTGAGTGAGCGAGTGAGTGGGTGAGCGAGTGAGTGGGTGAGTGAGTGAGTGAGTGGGTGAGTGAGTGAGTGAGTGGGTGAGTGAGTGGGTGGGTGAGTGAGTGAGTAAGTAAGTGAGTGAGTGAGCGGATGAGCGAGCGGGTGAGTGAGCGAGCGGATGAGCAGGTGAGTGAGCGAGCGAGTGAGTTAGTGAGTGGGTGAGTGGGTGAGTGAGCGAGCGAGTGAGTGAGCGAGCGAGTGAGTGAGCGGTTGCCGTTCGTTACCAGGTACGGCTCGGCCGTCCCGGTTGCCGTGGAGACCACGCTGGAGCTGCTGGTTGCTAGGCAACACGACCACATGGGCACGGGGGACATGGGAAAACGGCTGAGGCACGGTGCTGCTATCGTCAGGTACCCTGCCGCTGAATAATAATTATTGATCATAAACTACTAACTTATTTTCATAATAAAGTTCTCGTTTCACTCGTACACGATCTAACTCAACAACCCTTTTTTTGCGGAGAGCCTTACCAGTCCCACAGTCCCACAGTGATATGTGTAGAGACTCACAGACGCACAGAGACCCCATAGAGACGTACAGAGACCCCATAGACCCCATAGACAAGCCACACCCCGTTGCTTGGCAGTCTGCTGCCACTGAGTAGAGGACTGTCCCCACCCCTTACGGTGGCAGGAGCCACAGCTGGTCCACCGGACCTCCCGAATGCCGCAGAGATCCAGGCGGTACCGGTCCAGCTCCCGACGAGCGTTCGAACATTCCACGTGGCCACCCGTAGTGGCTTTTCGTTGTTCCTGGAGGAGCCCCGAGGGTAGAGATTCAATCTCCTGGCTCCGCCAAGTAGACGCCTGTCCCCCCGGGGCCTCCGGCACAAGCTTAGTCAAAGTTCGAAATCGTGGTTTTCGTGGTGACTAATTGTAGGTGGAGGGGTTACCAGCCCCTCGCACCCGTCCAGAGCCCCGCCCCTGTGGTGGTCACAGACGCCATGAGGGGAGGAGCCAATCGGAATTGGACCTCCCCCCACCGCACTGTCCACGACAGAGTTGCCATCCGGCACCACATGCAGACACACACACAGACACACACACAGACACACACACACAGAGACACACAGAGATACACACAGAGACACGCACACAGACACACACACAGACACACACACACACAGAGATACACACAGAGACACGCACACAGACACAGACACACACACACAGAGACACACAGAGATACACACAGAGACACGCACACAGACACACACACAGACACACACACACACAGACAC